ATATATATATATATAAATTAAACAAAAGATTTTAAAAAATATATGTTTCCTTCAAACTTTTCATTCAGGTTATGAAATGTTCTGAATATGGAAATGAAGTGGAAAATCTGAACATTCTAATTAACCTGTGCATGAGCTATCAATTTACTGATCAGCTGTTGTGGTTACAAGCAGCTTATGTATTGAACCATGAGGCCAGGAGAACAAAAATGTTACCTCAGCCATTATTTTGATTTGCCACAGGCGTGGACACAGTAAATTGTATTGACTATATGCTGCTGTAGTAAAACTTGATCCTAAACTGCCATCACCAAAACTTGCCACTGCACAGCATCCCGAGCCAGTGAAATTCATCTTTGTAAACTATTTCCCCAGGTTCATGTATTTTAATACCATCTTTATGTCTTCTTTGAAATCAAACTGACTACTTTCCAATGAAAATTTCTAAATAAAATACTCTATGTATCTTCTCTTTCTCTATCTAAATAATAAGTCCATTGCATTGTCATGTTCACAATATTTTACCCTGCCAATAATATGTGACCTGCATAAATCAGTGAGTATCTTATTATGTAATATCATCCATTTGCGATTTATTTCAACTCTTGTACCTGTCCTGTTGTTAGTTTACGTTTTCCTGTGTTCAGAATAAGCATCAGATGCGCTCCCACAAGAAACACCCTAAATATTCATGTTTGAAATAACAGGTAAAAGTGGTGGACAGAGAAGGACGCATGGTTCCTATGGGGACCCCTGGAGAGCTCTGGGTGCGAGGCTACAATGTCATGTTGGGATATTTCAATGATGAAGAAAAGACTCGGGAATTCATTCGTCCAGATGGATGGGCAAAAACTGGGTGAGAATCTATACATCGTCAGTTGATTTCTATTTATTCTATGGCCTATCTGACATTTAGAAAAGGCTATAACTTAAATGCTTTTGTTCCCAGTAGATTATCCTGTACAAATTAAATTTTCTTTAATTGTTTTCTTATAATAAGCTGTAAAGTAATTATTATCTGCTGTGTGATTAAAATGAAAGTTATTCATGGTTTGTCTAGAGGAAAATTTTTAAATTTTGCCATGGTATAACTCTTCTACCTTGTTTATAATAATTTCCCTCTCAATAAGTGTAAAATACTTTGAAAGATTGTCCTTTATAATTCTTGACTACTTGCACAAACAATCTAAAAATATGTAACTGTTAGCTTTCAGCTTGCTTCCATGTCTGTTTATATGTATCAACTCAAGAGCTGGTGAACAGTTTTTCATGAAATCTGATATTGCAGAGTTTTACTACCATTTGTTTGCACACTTTAGTTTTAGTTGAAATTATATAAAAATAATGGGCACTTTGTGCAAAGAACCACACATGTGAATTTCAAATAGAACTTGTGCATAACACACTATATATATGTTGGAGTGAGGAATGGTTTAAATGCAAGTTTCTCAGAAAAACATATAACACTGTTGATATCCAGCACACTATTTTCCTTAAGATATTTTTCACCATATTCAAAAAAAGGTTTTTTATTGTCATCTGTCAACTGTAAAACAATTTGAATGCTTTTGCCACTGTTGTTCTATGGCTGGCCCAAATTTTAATTGGTAATCATATTAGAATAAAAAAAAAATATGTTTAGCCACCGGCTCTATTCTCATGTGACCCACACTTAGTGATGTTATTTAGCCTTTTAACACGGTGGGTACTAGATGCACCACCTGTTTTAACATTAAAGACTGCTGAATTTTGCACACAGTATGGTTATGTCTTTCATATGAGTCTCAGAGTAAACAGAGATTCTAATCCAGAAGCAGCTAACCTAATTGAGGGTTTCTGTAGATTTACTCAGTTCCTGGACATAAATTCCAAGAAAGTACAATTGCTTAAAAGGAGGCAAAACCACTCCCTTTCATGGCAATCCAAATGATTCATCTTCTTTCATTCTATCATACCTCATTAAATACGATATAATCCATAAAACACATATTGAAGGCTAACACATGCTGTTCTGTCGTTATGTATGTTAGCAGTCATCAGAGTTTATAGTATTTACAAACAGAAGTAGATGATGGAACTGGTAGTCAGCAGTTGAAAGTATCCTTGCATCAGTACTGCAGTGTCCATCACAATTTCCAAAGAATATTCCTAGCCTATATCTGGATAGTAACATCAGTTGTACGCTGTTATTTTCTGAAATTCACTATCTTAATGTACAAGTATCTATGCCTTCAGACTTTTTCAGACTACTGAAGTTAAATGTTTTTGACACAGTGTGTACCTACAAGGAAAGAAGTTGCATGTGCAGGGAAATGTTTTCCTCTGAAGGTGTAGTGACATTTCAGTAGGTTTCATTCTAACCATAAAGCAATCAAATAATTAAAACCATAACTAATTGTGTACCACAGGGACCAGTTTGTGCTGCAGGAAGATGGTTATGCAAGAATTGTAGGTCGAATGAAGGATGTGATCATTAGGATTGGAGACAAAATCTTCCCATCTGAGATTGAAGAGTTCTTTGAGACACATCCTGACATTATGGAAGCTCAGGTACAGTCATGCACAGAGCCGTTCATTAACATGCTGCAATGTACAGACTTCCTGCGGTAGCTGGTAAGTTATTCGACTGGTGAAGGCACTCCATGTAGTGGAAACTGAAAACTCATCTTTGTGTTCACTAAAACCCACCATTGGAACCTCAGTGGAATACAGATAAATGGCATGTGAAATGTATGTTTGTTTCTTCTTTAATTCACAATTTGCCTTTAGATTTCCCAGATGTCCAGTCAATAACCTAGTCACTATATGAATTTAGCTATCTCAGCTTCTTGCAGAGTGCTGTAACACTGATATATTTATATTTTAAGAAGTTCCATGTAAAAAGAAAGAATTACAAGACATTAGTGTCTTCTACACACAGTAAATTGAAGATATAATAAAACAATAAATGTGCATGTAAAAGCTATTCCATTGATACCTACATCCTGACTGTAGAATAACTATTGGCACATAACATACAACTCTCATTTTTGATCACTGACTGTGAGTGTGTCAACAAATTTGATTTCCTGTATTCCTGTTTAGGTATTTGGAGTGCCAGACCCAAAAGTTGGAGAAGAAATCTGTGTCTATCTAAGACTTCGTGAGGGAGTCACCATTACTGAACAAGATGTCATTGATTTCTGTAAGGATAAGGTGAGCGTTCATGTGAGATTAATAAGTCATATTTACTATATACAAGTATACATGTTTCCAAAATGTCATCCATTTATATATTCAAGTATAAACATATAATTGTGATAACAAACACTTATGAAAATATTGTTGTCTTCTGAGAGGTAGTCTAGTAGGTTTCTGGGGTGCCGCCCCTTCTTCAGTTCAGCAGTTTCCTCAGAAAAGAGTTATTTTCATAGTCATCATCTTGAGAAACTGCAACCTTGTTAGCAACCTTCTACAAAGAGGCCACTCTACAATGTACATAGATTTGAAAAAGCTTCAAGTCAAAATATCCCATGTAGAGGAACATATTTCTCCAAAATACTGATAACATTTTGCCAAACTGCTTGGCATCACATCATAGAAAATGTCAATTGCTATTGTCACTGCCATGAGAACCTCTGATCTTTCCAAGAATGAAAAGTGTGCTAAGTATTTACCAGATGATTTCTATATGATCTTATGTATGTCACTGGCCTTAACAGTCCCTTGTTTCAAGGAAAACTTGCAGATCATAATGAGATTTATAATTTATGTCATGCAGAGGCACTAACTCATTTTAAAGCAAATGAGTGTTTTGCGAAATGGCTTAACAAGTATCACTTTCCTGTTACCCATTTGGAGAACGTTTCTCAACAGTTCCTTAAAGAAGAGAATTTCCTTACTGAAACCAACTGCGCCATCTTGAAATATTTATAAATATTTAGGACAGAAGAAGTTGGGTAACTTTTAATGAAAAATATTTTCATCCTACACACATTATGTCACAACTTACACTTGAAAATCATACAAAACATTGGTTTTCACATACTCTAATATATTATATGTGATGTATAACAGCAATAATACTTAAGTTTCTAGATATTATTCACACACCTCCCACTTTTATGCAAGGAAAACAATTGCAGTAAATCAGAGAACAGTAATTCCTGAAACCAAAACACAAAACCTATGCTTAATTACTTATGTACTGGTTTTGTAAACTTCATTTCGTTGTCCTGGATTACTGGCTCCTGCTATTTGTTTTATGGCAGAAAATAAACGGTAATAATTATCAGAAAAAGAGGAAAACTAAAACAAACCTAATAAAATACATTGTTAAACACAGCCTAAAGTCATTGGAGGATATGAACTTTATAACAACCCAATAAGAAAAAATTCATGGAAACACAATTTTACAATGTTGAAAATTGAGAATTATAGGCCATAGTCTGTAAATGAAAATTCAGAACAGTGTTTTACATTTCTGGCTGCTACAATAATATAAATTTTATGAGGTTTGTGGATTAGGTAACAGGCTTAGCTTGATTTGAGCATTAGGCCCCTAAGCATTTACCTGCACATTAGGCAGGCCTTCATTAGACTACGTTTAGATTAGGTTGGTTCATTGGCCAACTGAGCATTCACCTGCGAATTTGGGCAGAGCTTCATCACACTAGGTTAGGCTACGTTTGTGTCTCCAACACCTGTGCATCCACCTACAGATTCTGGTAGATTTGAAATATTGACCTGATGTATGTATGTTTGTAAGAATACCCTTATTGTTATATTATATTTATGAGGTCATGTAGAAAATGCAGTAAACATTATCACGGTTAACAACAATTTGACATCTTTCCAAGAATGAAAGGCCGTGCTCAATATTCTTCAAATTATACAAGTATCTTTATGATCATATTGTTCTTCTGTTTGAAGGAAAATATGTAGAACTTTATGCTTCAGTACTGAGGTTTTTATTATCTTCAGGTAAAATAGGTGGTATATTTGAGTGGTAAGAACCAAATTAAAATTCTGTAACATTTGAGGTTCCCACATTGGAAACTATGAAGAAAAATAGTTTCTGGAATGTGACACCATGTAGTATGGTAGAAGTCCACTGAGTTTCCTGCTTGCTTTCTGTTACTTTTTGAGTCTGCATTTGGAGGCAGTACATTCCATTGAAATGTTGGTAAAATTCTACCACACTATATGACACCACGTTCCAGAAGGTAATACTTGTGAACATTTAAATTTTCGAACAGTTTTTAGTGTTTTAGTAGTTTTAAAGAGGAAATTAGAATGGATGGGTGGGTGGAGATGACCTCCAAATTATGCATCATTATATGCAAAAAAAAAATTATGAAAGTCACTGGTATGTTACAGATTGCTCATTACCGTATCCCAAGGTACATAAGATTCACCAGTGAGTTTACAAGGACATCAACAACTGGTAAGATACAGAAAGCACAACTGCTAGAAAAGCTGCTTTCAGAATTGAGCTTAAAAAATTTATAACAACCGAAGGTTTGGTAGGTCATCAAAAAGCCTTGATTAGAACATTGTCTGCAAATTTGCTGAAAACGTCAATTTTTGCTGATAATTGTCTTGAAAGGAACTTTTCTGTGCATGTCTGGCCTTCCCCAATCAGGCTATTTCTTCAGCCAGCCATAATTTCCTTCATCTCACTACCCTTTTGATATGGCAGTGTAAATGGCATTGTCAGTGATGATGATTATTCTTATTATTGTTGTTGTTATTATTATGGTTTTGATGATTATGATGGTGATGCTGATTATGATTACGATGATGATGAGGACGGTGATGACGACTAGTGCTTCTTCTTACAAAACATTTGCCTGTTCTCTTGTGCTCAGTTTTATCCTAAAATCAAACAGTAAGATCCACCAGCAGATGTGCAACTTTAGACAAGATGGCTGGATTGCATCAATTGTTGTTGATGTATACTGGCTGAGACAGGTGCTGATAACAAATATAAATGATCTATTGAGATCATAAAGTATTGTTACATAATATCATCAGTTTCTAACAATATCCTCAATTTTCATCTGTCCATGGAACTGCATTCTAAGTTTTCTGGTTATGATATGTATTTTAAGCTTACACTTCAACTGTATATTATTGTTATCAACTTACATAGTTTAATATAAAGTCTTTCCAAACCCTCTCTTTTAATGTCCTATTAAGGGTATGGCATTGTCAATACCCAACCCCAAAGAGAATAGCTTTCCTAAGAAATTGACAGGCATTTGGCTAGTATAGGATTTTCTCACTTATGGTACTTAAATGTTTGTTAACATGTTCACAAATGCCTAGAACTTGACTTTATCCTGAATGCATTCAGTGCTTATCCTCGTGTTATTTCTTAATTTCCTTATTCTTTGACCAGTTAATTGCTGGTATAATCACAATTTGCTTGTATATTCTATATCTCTTCACAGGATATTAGTAGTTTAATAACAAAATGAATTTAGTTATGAAACATTTATATAGATGGTTCCCAGCTAACCAAATTAATACTAGATTTAAGAAAAACCCATGTAATGAAATTTATGACCCCTAAGGCCACGGACTATCCATTACATATGAAATATAATGACCAAACACTTAAATTTTCTGTAAATGTTAAGTTTTTAGGTGTGTGCCTGGACAATCATTTGGACTGGGAAAAATACTCTGATGATGTGATAAATAAGTTAAGTGTTGCAACCTTTGTGCTTAGAAAACCACAGCCTATAGTAAGTAGGCAAGTGTTGAAAATGGCTTATTGTGCTTACTGTCAAGCTCAACTTAAATATGGTGTTATTTTCTGGGGCTCTTCTTCGTCATCAATGAAAAGAGTTTTTGTGGCTGAGACAAGAGCAATTGAAGCAATGTTAATGATGAGGCCTAGAAGTTCTTGTAGAGAGGTTTTCAGAGAACTAGGGATAAACAGTTCCCTGTTTGTTTATATATGCCATGGTCATGTTTGTAATTGAAAATGAAAATAATTATCTTACAAATAATAGTGTACATAAAATTAACACTAGAGTACAAAATAGACTAGATTGTCAGCTAGACAATCCATTATACAAAAAGGAGTGTATTATACATCCATAAAAATTTTTAATAATTTGCCACATAAATTCTATATTTTAAAGGATAATGTTAATTTATTGAAATGAAAACTGAAAGACTTTCTTATCTTGAAAGCTTTCAATTCTATTGATGAATATATAGCCAATACCTAATTGTATTATATTCTATTGTATATAGGCTGTGTCTATTTGGACTTGGTTGTATANGTATGTATGTATGTATGTATGTATGTATGTATGTATGTATGTATGTATGTATGTATGTATGTATGCATGTTTAAACAAGATATGAGAAACACAATCCAAAATTAAAGGCTTTCATTTGATCATTTATCTGAACTGTCATTTTTTTTTTAATAAATTTTCCTCTGAGTGCTGTGACAGCTCTATTTCCACCTTAATATCTGTGTATAGAAAATGACACATAATAATGTTATTTAAATAATACACTGTCTCTTGCACAGAAGAACCTGGTCAACAGGAAACAATGTAGTCATTTATATGACTAATATTGAGATAGAAGAAATGTTTCTTTGGCAGTTACAGTTGTGTTAGCATAACATAACCTTTGGTGTAGCAAGCATTTGCATGGTTTAGTAATTATGTCAAATATTAATAATCTGTTATAGAAGGGAGAACTGGAGAGACAGAGAAGAGGCATTTACCTTTTACTCTTTTTAATGAGAATTAGCCCAAGATTTTGCAACAGTTCACCAGAAAACACATGGTACCAGAGTTGACTGTATAGTAATAATACTGAGAAATATATTTAAAAATAAGAAGTTTGGGGAAAACAACATAAAGACACCTAATTCACTTTCAACATTTTCAAACCTCTCCTTGCCTTGCATTATTGCTATCAGTTATAAAGAGTGAAATTTTAACAGATATGAATATTATTGTGAATGTTGGGTTACTGTACTAACTTGAATGACTTAATTTCTATAGTAGTAACATATCACAAGTGAAATCTAGGCTATTGCATAATACCCAGAATTTAACCGATTATGGTTTGTTGCAATGTAGTACTTGAATCTTAAGATGTTTGTAGTAAGTTAATAAAAATTTTCTGAAGTTTACTGTCATCTAGATTGTGATGTCATATAGTCTGATTGGCGTTTATTGACGTTCCTTCAAAGTGTCAATAAACTTCTTCCAGACTACACAGTATCATGTTCCAGAAAATGACACTCATGATAACTAATGAAAATCCCAAATCTAATTAAAATCCAGTTTCACTAAAATATGAAGAAAATTGAGTATAACAATTTAAAACAGTCCTTCTCGCATCAAATCTTTGTCATCAGATGAGATATTATTGGATATTTATATTTCTTGTGTTAATATCAGTTCACCATCTGAGCCCAGCATACAATTTTAGTCACCCTGTTTATCTCAGCATTAATAGTAAACTGCTCTCAATAAACATTGTTATGTTATGTTATGTTAGTAGCTTTAATTCAGTTACTCAGCAAAGACATAACGGTTACATCACAAGCAGTGGCAGTACAACAGTTATGGAGTATGATAACATTTTCATGTATGTTATCAGCAAATAGGAAAAATTTAATTTTCCATGTTTTTGCTGAACTCTGATTCAGAATGAGTTTGAAGGATGTCTCATTTCACAGATTCATTTCCTGTCCACATGTACAACATCTGTTGATTCAGATTCACACCACTAACTAGGAAGCTTATCTCCAAATATTTTGTTTATTTTTTGGGTATCAGCTGACACTGACAAAGAGGCTGTTTACTCTGGTATAAGAAGCCTGTATCCTATAGATTTGACTGTCAGTCTCAGTGTGTGTACAAAGGAAAAGAGCATGGTTAGCAGGTAAGTGGCATAAGACTAAGAACAAATGTGTAACAGCAACTGTAAATTTAATAACAGATTTAATTTAATCTAAACTTGATAGATCTATTCCCATTGCACAGCTATTGGTTATACTTCATTGCCCCCTGTTCTTCTTGAAACTGGTAGGTACAGACCTTTCCTCCACGTACAATATAGATCTAATGATTGCACTGCCATGAGTATGTTTCTCTGAAAATTTATTTTACACAGAACACATTGGTTAGACACCTAGACTCAGTGTTCTGAAATTAAAAGCAATGCAACTTTCTAACCCCCAGTTACCAAAAAGACACGATCTTTTCAAATTAGATAGTCAGATATTCTTCTCACCACATGTGATAGCTGTATCACTATGACATAATCGTGCAAAATTAGACCGTGTCATTTTCTTCATATGAGCTGTAATCTTTGTATTGGCAGGACAGAGTTTTGTGAAATTGATAGTGTCATTGTAATCACATTATATATAGGCAACAGTGTTTATATCCCCATGATAAGATTATCTGCTATTAGGCAATGGGACTTCCTCCACACTAGATTTTATTTTCAAATACAAGATGCCATATTCGTTTTCCTTTCATTCTTCTTCTGTCATCATATAATGTCATAGGCATACATTCTCTCTCTTCTTTTCTGGTTGTTGTACAGTTCTTCTGGTAATGTTGAATATTATGATGATAGATGAACAATGAATTAGGAAAGACTTGACAGGAAGTAGTTGTGACCTAATTGAGGTCCTTCATAGCATTTGTATTGAGGAACTGAAGAAAACCATTAAAAACCTGTAAGGGTAGTGAGTGTAGAGGACAACAAAATGGCCAAATTATTTATTCAACCACAATGACATACATGAACCCTTACAACTACTGGTTACTATTGCAAACAGGCCGCGCCATAGCTCAAGCGGTTACTCGCTGGCTTCCCACCGCGGCTGCCCGGGTTCGATCCCGGGCCTGGTCAAGTGGGATTTGTGGTGGACAAAGTGGTGCTGGGGCAGGTTTTCTCAGAGTACTTTGGTTTCCCCTGCCCATCTTCATTCCACCAATTTCTTCACAATTACCCTCACCTATCATCTGGGGCTGGTACAATAGGCCAGAAGTGGCTGCAGTACAAGGGACTTAGTCTCACCCCACTAGCAATATAAAAAAAATACTATTGCAAACACATTTTGGTCTCATGTACCATGTTGAGTGTTTGCTTACACATATAGATCACCGTCATTAAGTTATAGCTACAGGTACGATATATATATGGGGCAGTGACAATGTCATAAGAGACAAATCCATTAATGCAAAAATAGGTAAGTCTTAAGTACTGCTAAATACTGACGGGTGTTATTGTGGTAAATAAGGTACTGTGGTACTGAATATTGGAGTATTTGGGAGGTCCAAGATTGAAGTTGTGCCATCCAAATATCCCGACTGAGTTATATAGAAGTTAATCAACTCCCTCCAGTGTGACTGTTAAAATGTTTTTTCTCTCTCCTTTTTAATCTTTCATCCTTCACATGTTTCGGCCTTAGAGACTATCTTCAGAAGGATAGACCAATAGAGGCAGAAACTACTATTACAATGTGTCTGGTCAATATCAATACATTCATAGAATATCAGCACAGTGCTCTGAATATAAAATCTGACACTTTAATGGCTACATCGACATGCATGAATATATTAAAATATTACAATTAGTCTGTTTATAAGTGTGGTTTATAAAGACTTGTCAAAATTTAGAACCAACAAACATGTCAAGGGTGAAAGATTAAAAAGGAGAGAAAGAAAAAAAACATTTTATCAGTCACACTGGACAGAGTTAATTAACCTTTTATAATATTGCTAGTGTGACAGATCAGGATGAACCAAACAAAAAAAAATCCTGATTGAGGTTTTTCATGGTTTTTCTCAGACCTTCCAGGGGACACTATTAATACCTCAAATGAGGTTTTGACTGCTTCATTACACATCCTTTTCCAGTTCACTATTCATCAGACATCCAGCCATTCAGCACTACATTGCTTCAGATATTGACAGTTTCAGTAAATAAACCATAAATAAGCAAATAAATAGACATTTCAGAAATTAATTCAAGTAAAATTGTTCAAAACAAGACAGCAAAGCAAAGTACATTTGAGGTGATATTTTGAATTCCATAATAATTCCATCCAAATTATATTTACTTCTATGGATATTACAACATGACTTTTCTTTTTTGAAACATGAAATCTCAAAGTAGATCATCAAAGGGCCCAGCCAAGCGTGTAATTTATAATGTTATCAAATTCTGCAAAACGGATATTAAACATAACCCTACGATTCCATTAGCTAAGCAATTTTAAATTTAAAATTCTCTTGTCCAGATGCAAAAGTAAATACTTCTTTGTTTCAGTTGTTATATGATAGGACTGCAAATGCTCTCTTCATTGCAATTTTCAGCAGGTAATTCTGTAATGCCAGAACACAGAATGAAAGCCATCGGTTCTTCATTTGTTTAGGCAAACGACAGGCTTGCAGAAATTAGGGCACCAGGTTGCAATGGCACCTAGAATTTTCTTCCAGTTATATTACTCTCAGTACATATCCAACAAAGACTGCAGTCAAACTTCCTTTCCATGCCCTCTTTTTTATCTCTTGTCACCTTCTCCCTTCTACTCTTATTGCTTTGCAATCATATTCTTGTATGTCCCACCAGTATTCCTCTCCCCTTTCCTTCCTCCCTCTCCTTCACTTAAAAACATATCAGTCGCTCTTCTTTTTTATTCTTTTATTCCTTCAGTAAATTTATATACTTCCTTGATTTCTTCCTTATTATTTTCCCATACATTTTATTTCTTCATTCTCTTGCCATTCCTCTTCCCATATCCTAGAAACATCAGGATAGTATGGGTTTTTCCCCATATCCTAATGGATAATAGGAACACAGCATTATATTTACCATAAGCATAATAAATACTGGATAGTATTTATGTTTATATGCTTCAGCTGTCCTTTTTGTTAATTATATAGTTCCCATTCAATGTATTTAGTTTCTTTTTAATTTGGCTACTGGATTTACGAGTATAGGGAATTTGTGTAGGCTTGGCCAGTGGATTAAAATGCCTACTTTATATTTCTTCAGATCTCCAATCTCAATGTACAAGCCAAGCTACCTTCACCGCCCAGGTGCTGAACCACTGTTTGCCCTCACATTGGGGCAGTTAGCACAGAAAGCAGCAGAAGAATGGGGTGAGAAAGAAGCATTAGTGTCAGTGTATGAGGAGCAACACTACACTTTCAGAGAAGTACTAGAAGAGGTAACATGTTTTCTATTTTTCATATTTGAGCGTTGTGGATGACCTTTGAGATGATTATCGACTTTGGTCTGATGGCAAAGTTCAAGCTGTCATCTGTAGACAAAACTGTGTGTGTAGAAGCTTTAGTTCACAGTTCATGGACTGACAGGATTCCAGCTCTTAGTATTTGACTTAAGTGGTTAGAATAAAAAAAAAAAAAACAGACTTGTCATTCTTTCTTATCTTGCAGTGTCATGATCCTACAATGCACAGAATAAAGCTAAACCAAAAAACAGATAAGCTGTAGCAGTGTCAAGCTTCACATTGTTCTTCTATTAATATGTTAGGAAATGAACACACAGTGTAGCAATTTTGTTACTGTTACTCTGCCTGTCTCTGTTACTTTCACCAAATTTAAATTCAGGAATGTAGTCTTCATAATTGTAATATAAGGGAATGGGGGTTGAGGAAGGACTTCAGTAACAAGTTAACAGAACTCATCCAATGGTTCTTAAGTTACAAGATGACATAGCATAGAAATCCATTTTGTTCAATTATTTCATTGAGCTACAATCGACATGTGCAGAAATGGATGTAGGTCTTCATGTAGTGTCCCTCATTTTTGTTAGATTTTAACCAAAATTGGAATCTGTTGTCAAAGCTTAGTAAAACGCCCCATCAAATTTTACAAATATCTTTTCATCATTTCCTGATTTATTATATATGGATGGGTGAACAGACTGAGAGAAGTGGCAAAGCCAATAGGCAAATTTTTGTGACTTTCATTGCAAATTCAGCAAAAGTGTACCTCATAAGAACATCCTGTGACACAGCTTTTCCTTGTAGCAACACTCAAGCCTCTGCTGGCAAAAGTATGGAATATGAACATTTACTCAGTAAAATATGCAGTGCTATTATATAGTTTCTGACCGAAATGGATTTTTTAGCCTTTCTAACTAGACCTCATGCAAAAAAAAAAAAAAAAGAGAGAGAGATATTTTTCAACACTGAATTATTTATTATATTTTGTTACTAGTTAATGGGCTGTTGACTTATCTTCTGTCCATATTTTAGACCAGTGTTTCTCAACCACCGGGCTGTGGCCTGGAACCGGGCCCTGGCATCAATTATACTTGTCTTATAAAAAAAGAATTTACGGGGCCGCGGTCTGACAAAGGTTAAGAACCACTGTTTTAGACTCTGAAAATGTTATACTAATCAAAAATGTAACTTGCCATGTTATGAGATACACTGTTTTCAAACCAATAGATCTACACCTTCCATGCACATGTTTAATATGTGACAATATCAACGAAAAGAAACTTCTATAGTAAACCAGTGGTTACTCTACTCACGACCTGCTGTAACACTGAATATATCTTAATTTGTACACGGCATTAATTGGTTTTGTGTGTTACTCAAAATAACCAAAAACACTCCTAAATTTCATTAGGAAATTATTATCTTAATGGAGATGAAGTGTGTTTTCTGAGAGACAGAAACTGAATTTTTAAATTGAGATTAATTGAAATGAAAGCAAATTTATAAGTCAGCATGCCAGACTTGAATAAGGAATAAAACTCTTCTAAAGAACTCAGCAAGAAACAGATTTAAATCCAAACTTAGAATAACTTCAGCAGACCCAGACAACATTTATGTTACAGTGTGTAACTTTTTTTCAGGCTGATAGGCTTGCTGCAGGCCTCTTGCAGCTGGGCCTTAAGCCTGGAGATCGATTGGGAATATGGGGCCCCAACTCCAGTGACTGGTATATCTCAAGAGTAGCTGCAGCTAGAGCTGGACTTATAGCAGTGAGTACCAACATCTTAGAGTTTAAATACAGAAGGGGGCACTCTTAAGGAGGCTTCGTGAGTTTGGTAGGATTTAGATGCAGTGACAAGAGGGTGAGGTACTGTATTAGTGGCCAGACATTTCCCACATCCCTGTACCCTTGTTGGAGTTCCCAGGTATAGCTCATCAGTCATATAATTTGAATATAAATATAATATGCACCAGAGAAAATGCATCTTAGTAGTTTTGCCTCACCTTCACTGCTTAGATATATATTAAGTTAGACATTTGCATGTGTTTCAGGTACAAATTGATCCAGCATATCAACCCCCAGAGCTCTTGCATGCTCTTGTCAAAGTAGAAGCAAAGGCTCTTATTTGTGCAGAGCAATTTAAGTGCAGCAGCTGTTATGAGACTGTGCAGGCATTAATCCCAGAATTAAATAAGAGCGCCGAGGGTGGAACTGAAATTACCAGCTCTAAACTTCCAGCTCTGAAGACACTCATTGTTATGAGTAATAAACAATATAGGTCAGTTCCTCTAGATATGACATGCATTATTGTTATGTTTCCATGTATGTAATGTTTAATTCTGTGCCCAAGACTGAACCTGTCGTAACCTTTCTCTGCTGCCAATTCATATTCCACCATCCATTAACTGCCTTGCATCATGCTTCTAGTGACAACACAGTTCAGTCATTACAACAAACAAACTCCGTGGTTTTACTCCACAAGCGAACTATACCGACTGAGTGACTGCCGCCTGTCAGCGAAGTTAGTGGCAACTTTAGCCGATAGAATGTGTTGTGTGGTCAACACAATGAATCCCCTTGGCTATTAATTTCGCTTTTCTAGACCGGAGCCGCTACTTCCATGAAATAGCTCTTCAATTATCCTCATGCAGCTGAGTGGGCCCCATTCCAGACCCACTACTTCTCAGAAAATCTTGTAGCGCCGGGAATCGAACCCGGGACCTCTGGATCTTTAGCCAGGAACTCTGACCACTAGACCACAGAGGCGGTCTTAGTCATTACAATATTATGAAAAAAATATATAGAATGTTAATAACAGAAAATGGTGGTCAAGAAGCTAAACTTGCAGAAGAAAGTGAGCCAACATAATAGATGACACCAACAACTTGTAAAATAATTTCATTTCACATTTTCCTAACAGACATTACATTACAGTATCCTTCCTGAGAAGCTGATAGCTACTCAGCTGGTCCAGAACTCCCCTGGTTTTATGGAAATACAAGGTTAATTACTGTGTTATCAGGAGACTACAACTGGACCCTATCCAGCTGAACCCATTTTATATTCTCATGCTGTTTTCTTTTTCAGGAACATTTTAATATTATAAGTCCATTTATTCCTAAGCCTCCTAAGTGGACTCTTTCCTCTAGGTTTTCTGACTAAAATATGAGATGTCACAGATGCATATATTCTCATTATTTTATTCTGAAATATCCCCAATCTTTGTTATTTCCTTATGTGAAGGACCAAGTTTCTCACCATACAAAAAAAGACATAGTTATTGTTTTGCATAATTCCATGATTTTGTCATAGCAAAGTTCCTCTGTAACAGTTCATAACATTCTATTTCTTTTATGATAAAGGATGTTAGCCCCCTTCACATCCCTAAGCTGGTGGTCCATACCTTGTTAACTGACCACAACAACTTATTCAACATATTCAGATATTCTATATATCTAATCTGTCCATTGTCAGTACCCCACATTGCTCCTTAGTTGGTCTTAATTTGTCTCCTCTTTCCATAACCTAGAATGCAGTGCCATGGTGACAGGGGATCCACTTAAAATGGTATATATTGTGAAGCGATAGGATGTGACTACAGACAGGTTTTGGATTGGCGACAGGATTTATTGGACTCTTTTGAGGCAGAACACATTACTACAATTTACACTTAACTATTTCACACACATTAGTGTCTACAATCATGTCTTCAATGCCGTTGCTTGGTAGCAGTTTCCAATGGTGGGAGTTCCCCTTCCTCTGGGTTCCCAAACTGTCCCCGGCCTCAGCTACTAGCTTCTAATAGCAACAGCTCACCATGACTGAACTCTAGCAGTTCTCTAACTGTCAACTGGTCCTGGTTATAACATCTCAGAATGGACTGCGTAAAATACATCTCTTTCATTATTGCTGTGGAAACATGTTTGTTTGCAGAGCTGTTATTTAGCAGTGGTTGTTGTATAGTTGCTTATTTTGCTGTCATTGCCTAGTAATGGGTCTACATACAACAGTATTTGTTAGCGTGGTAAATATTTGATTAGATCTCTTTTATATTTCCATAACTTACCATCCCATGTATTATTTCAGTTTTAAAAAGACATAAATGATTATGTCTCACTGAAATTTGTCACTGTTCTTGAATCTAGAGTAGCTATTATGGCATGTCCGGTGAAAGCTGGAATTATTTAATCAGAGAAAAAATAGATGGTATAAGTACTTAGTAATATGTACGGAATCTAGTTTAACCCATAAATGAGAATCTCAAGTGGTAACATTGATATCTTCTGAGTGTAACGGCCACAATTACAATCTCTGCCAACACCGTGACATTTTCATATGCTGTAGTTGTTTAAGTTGTTTATGTTTTTCACAGATAGAACTGTCCCTGGAAATAAAATAATGAAAATTTGCATAGAAATGGGATGTAACGTGTTTTGCTACTGAAGACAATGTTCAGATTGTTAATTGGTTTATTTAACAACTTACAAGTTGTAGCTACAATTAATTACAACGCTGTTGCGGGTTTACACAGTTTACAAACCCTGCACACTATTCTATTCACTTTATCCTCAGTAGTCTTCACGTATTTATAACGCAGGAGCTATACAAGTCTCTGTGAATTACACTACCAATATAACTGTACTACAGCACACATAAAATTTTGAAGTCACACAGTAAGTGTTCACTGGCTGACTTCTCAGTTATCGCGCATTATCACAGATTATCACATAAAATCTTGTAACCACGCGTTCAGTTTTTCTTCCCATGACTGCTGCTATATTTCAACTGAACTCGATGACTTCATGATCCGCACTGTGTCACTCCTGATCACACACTCTGCTCACATACTGCTCAGTCGGGTTTTTATACAGTTCCCTGTTGCCTTGTGTTAACAGCGGTGTCCCCTGTTAAGTCAGACTCGGAAGTGCTGTTATGTCACCACGGGGGG